TTGGCTGCACCTTATCTTATTATGGCACAAAGGATCTTTAGTTGTGGCATACAAACTCTTAGTTGCAGGATCTAGTTCCCTAACCAGGGATCAAACCCCTGTCCCCTGGATTGGTAGTATAGAGTCTTAGCCACTGGACTACCAGGGAAGTCCCAAAAATATATCTTTAACCTTTGTCATTCCTGGCATGTGTGTTAGTCACTTAGTCAGGTCCAACTCTTTGGGACCCCATGGAGTGTAGCCCACCAGGCTTGTCTGCCCGTGGGATTCTCCAGACAAGGATACTGGAATGGGTTGCCATTCCCTTCTCCAAGGGATCGTCCCAACCCAGGGATGAAACCTGGGTCCTCTGCATTGCAGGCAGATTTTTTTTACCATCTGAGTCACTAGGGAAACCTATTCCTGGAGCTCCTAAAACCTCTAGGATTTCTTGTGAGGAGATAAAGATGTCTTTTGTTATGTTAATGAGACACCCTTCAGAAAGCCCTAGGTGACTCAAGGATGGACTGATTGCCTGGGGAACCAATCTTGGGATTAAAGGATTAAAATTTCAGTCCCTTCCACCTCACTCCCACTCTCCACCCAACTACCCCCTCCTGGGATGTAAAAAGAGCTAGAGATTGAGGTCAAATGCCAATGACCAAGGATTTCATCAATCATGCCTATGTAATGAAACATCCATACAACCCCACAGGATGGGGTGCCAAGAGCTTCACAGTTGGTGAACTAGGACACAACTCTGTGCTGCAAGGGTGAAAGAGTGCAAGTATTGGACTAACACTTCAGTCGTGTCCGACTCTGCGACCCCATGGACTGTAGCCCGCCAGGTTCCTCTGTCCATGGAATTCTCCAGGCAAGAACACTGGAGTGGGCTGCCATTCCCTTCTCCAGGGGATCTTCCCAGCCCAGGGATCAAACCTAGGTCTCCTGCATTGCAGGCATATTCTTTGCCTTCTGAGTCACCAGGGTAGCAGATCCAAAGCCCTGAAGCTCCTGTGTTTGGGAGCCGTTGGGTCTCATCATCTGCTGTTGTCCCGTCACGGTCATGTCCAACTCTTTGCGACCCCTGGGCTGCAGGCGTCTCTCTCCTCCACTCTCTCCTGCAGTTTGCTTGAATTCACATCCATTGAGTCGGTGATGCTATCTAACTATCTCTTCCTCTACTGCATCTGTCTGTTAAAATCCTTTTATAATAAAGTGATAATTTAGTGAGTGTTTTCCAGAGTTCTGTGAGCCCACTCTAGCAAGTTAATGAAATCCAAGGAGGGGATCACGGGAATATCCAATTTATGACTGGTTGGTCGTGGGCACAGGTGACAATCTGAACTTGAGATTAATGTCTGAAGGGGAGGACGAGGGCAGCCCTGTAAAACTGCGACTTAACCTCTGGAATCTGACCCTGTCTCTAGGTAGGTAGTGTCAGAACTAAGTTCGTTACTTGGTAATGTTGGAAGACACACACTGAGCTGTATAATTGAAAAGTTCAAGAACAAAATATCTGATTTTTAAAAAGAAGAATAAAATTGAATTGCCATAAGACTTATGAAGAACAAAGACTGAAACAAAAAACTCATTATCATTTAGTCATTACGGAAATTAACCCTAAAATCACAATAAATGACCAATAAACTTTCCCTAAAAAGAGAGAAAAAACAAAAAAAAATTTTTTAATCAGAAAATCACTGCCAGGGCTGGCACATGTATGGATAGAGAATGGAGAGTGACTGTTTCGTGGACACAGACAGGATTTCTTTGGGTGATGATTAAAATATTCTGAAATTAGATTATGGTGATGGTTGCACAATCTTGTGAAAATTCTATAGAAACACCACTAATGTGTATACTCTCAATGGGAATTTTATGGTATATGAATTTGATCTCAAATTTTTAAAAAAATTAGAAAAAGCAGTTGCCTGGAGAGGGAGTACTGACTGCAAAAGGGAACTTTTGGGAGGCTACAAATGTCCTACATCCTGACAGCATGACATCTGTCAAAACATCATGCTAATCACTTAAAATATACGCATTTTCTTGTATGTGCATTGTATCTTGGGACTTCCTGGTGGTCCAGAGGCTAAGACTCCGCTCTCCCAGTGCAGGGGGCCCAGGTTTGATCCCTGGTCAGAGAACTAAGATCCCACATGCCGCAAAGAAGACCGAAGATCCCATCCATGTGCCACAGCTAAGAGGCAGTACAGGCCCCAAAATGTGTGTGTGTCCTTAGTCGCTCAGTCGTGTCTGACTCTTTCCCACCCCACAGACTGTAGCCCACCAGGCTCCTCTGTCCTTGGGATTCTCCAGGCAAGAATACTGGAGTGGGTTGCCATACCCTCCTCCAGGGGATCTTCCCAACCCAGGGATTGAACCCAGGCCTTTTGCATTGCAGGTGATTCTTTTATTATCTAAGCCACCAGGGGAGCCCAATAATTTTTTAAATTGTGCCTTAACTTAAAAAAAAAATAATAATATTGGTGGGAAATATTATCTCCAATCTAACTTATTTCTCACTACGTGGACTGCTTGTAGCCTAGACAAGGAGGACTGCAGAAGCTTCTTTTTGAGCCACTATAGCCCCAGCCTCCATCAGTTCTCTGCCCAGGATCACAGTTAGAAGACAGTCCACCCTGTGCCCATCTCTGTGTGGACAGGCTCCTAGCCACGCACTCCCCCTCCATCCCCCCGGCTTCCTTCTGTCCTCACAGCTAGCCAAGCACGAGGAAGGAGCCCAGAAAGAGAGAGGGGGATCCGTGACAGACAGGGTCTCAGAGCAGCTGGGGGTGAAGAGCAAGAGAGACAGGGATACTGAGGGAGAGTAAAGGACAGAGAGATGTAGCGAGACAGAGGAGAGCCAGAAAGAGGGTATAAATACCCATTCATTACAATGATGGAATGACCAAGACAGAAAGGCTCGAAAGAATCTTGGTGCTTGTCAAGGAAGCTCAAGGGCCCATGACTGCAGTGGAAGGGGATGGGGTTAGACCTTGGGGGTGGCCCCAGGTCGTGTGAGATGCTGCAGGACCCTCGCTTCAAGTCACTGATGAGTTTCAGTCTCCGCCCGACCACAAGCCTGCGGGCTCCTCACACAGGCACCCCTTTAGCTGCCTAACACATTCACACCATTTTATTTTCTGCAAAACTCTTATCACTGCTTTTGAATGTAGTACTTCCTGCCTGTCCAGGGGCAGGCGCTTCCCCACCCACCTCCCGGCCCCCAGCTTGGCTTCTCCAGTTGTAGATTATCTCCAGGACAACCCACCAGATGGGTGTGAGCCTCCAGACCTCACCTATCCAAGCACCTGCTCAGGTGCTCAGCTTGGACCCAGAGTTGCTGAACCACAGGAGCCCCAAGCAACAGCCTCAGGCTCAACTGGCTGGTCCCCAGGTCAAGGACGCTGATCTCCCTGGCTCCACCGTTTGGGATTATGAAACATCACTGCCTTGAATTTCACCCAGGTTGCAGAAGACTTAGACAGGCATTTCAAAAATGAAGCCAGCAAATGGCTCGTGAACTCATGACACAGAATGACTTTTCATCAGTCATCAGGGAAATGGAAATTAACACCTCACAGTGATGCCTCTATGGCCCCTCAGGATGGCTAAAAGGGAAGGCTGACAAAAATGTGTGTTAGATAAAGACATATATATGTGTAATATTACATATATCATAATTCAGTATTATAGGTCACGTGACACAGTGAAAATACTACACTTATACATTTGCATGTGTGTGTATGCACATATATATGTGTGTGTATATATATATTGTATATATAAAATATTCTTTGGGCCCAATAGTGATGGCAGAGCCTGTGCTGCTGGACTAGGTCCTAAGGACATTAACTGTTATGAGTAGACCGTAAGGACACCCAAGGTTCCCAAACAATGGGACCCCGGAGGAACATAGGGATAAGGGCCTCAGTCAACCCAATTTTCTCAGGACTGTCCCAGTTTAGAAGGCTCAGTGGTAGAGAACCCACCTGCCAATGCAGAAGACCTCGGTTCCATCCCTGAGTTGGGGAGACCCCCTGGAGAAAGAAATGGCAACCCACTCCAGTACTCTTGCCTGGAGAATCCCACGCACAGAGGAGCCTGGTGGGCTACAGTCCTTGGGGTCGCAGAGGTGGACATGACTAAGCACATGCAGTTTAACACGGGAAGCCCCGCATACTGGCAACCCCTGAGCCCAGACAAATGGGGAGGACTGCTCCCTTTACTGACCAAACTCGGGAGCCTCTTTGGATAGAAGAGCTGGACTCCACACTGGCGTGTATACTGGACAGACTGTCAGCTTCAGAGAAGAGAATTATCAACTTAGGTCTTCAGAAGAGGAAAACTGAGATGCAGATAAAGGAGAGACTTGCCCGGAGACACACAGCTAATGGCGAAGCGAAACAATATTTGGGCCAAGGTTTCTTTGCCCATTTAAACCAATGCCCTTGAGTCCACTGCTACCCTTGACTCATTCTTAATGGGATGTACACGGGGAAACAGACACGACCCACGACCTCACCAGCTTTTCAAAGTTACCGAGGACTCAGGAAGCTTGGTTATATCAGTTGCTATTTAGTGTATTCAAAGTTAAAATGGAGGCATTTTTAAAATGTTTCTAATTTTTAAAAATGTATTAAAAATGTACTTTAAATTCCGAATTTTTTTTTAATTGAATGCTTTCCTTGAAAAACCCCAACACTACAAGGTACCTCGTGTCTTAAAGTGAAACTCAGGGCTCTGCAGAAAATTGCTGGCATGTCAAATCCTTCCAGAACATTGTCTGACCAAGAGCCCCAGGTCATCTCTGAGAGCCCTGGTCAGACACACCCAGAGTCCCTCACTTGTACCCTTTCCCCATCTCTAGAACTCCCTGTGACTCCCAGGGGGACAGAGAGGAGAAAGAGGGCAGGAAATCAGGATACAGGTTGAAAGATCATTTTTTTCCATCAACCAAGTTGGCACCCTCCTAACCCTTTAGATGCTGTTGCCCAAACAGCCAGGGAGTGCGCATGCGCCCCCGCACCCCGCACCCCGCACCCCTTTTCTGCGGTGGGCTCCTCGTCGCCTCTGACGCCCTCCTGCGGCCGCCCTGGCCCCTGGGTCTCCCCACAGCTGGTCCTCTGACCCTGGCCTGGTCCCATTTAGCAAATGCTCCAATCCTCTTAGGGCCAGGCCGGCCTCAGCAGAGCCGAGAGAGAATTAGATCAAATTTGGCGGGGGGAGTGGACTGTCATGTGATGGGCTGGGGGGAGGGGAGTGGACAGAGCGTCGGGAGAGAAAGAGCTCTCCTGCTTGTTGCAGCCTCCAGAGGAGGTCTGCGGCGTCTCACACACGGAGACCCCCAAGAGGAGACTCGGGTGTGGGGGAGAGGGTGGCGGTTGGGGGAGAAGAGAGACAGGGCGGGGGCACCTGGGAGCCGCGGTATCTTACTCCCCACGCCCGGAAGAGCCTGACGCTTCTGTGTGCGTCTTCACACCATCTCGCCTCTCTTTAAGGATTTTAGTGTCTCTTCTAGAATCCTTACTTCTTGGCACGTGTGTTTTTATGAGACAGATAGTGACAACCTTTGGGCTGCCCTCAGAAGCTCCCCACCACCACCTCCCCAGCCTCCCACCCCCTACCTCCACCCCCGCCTTCGCGTTCCAGCCGGAGGGACAACGGTTAGACTCAGGAAGGTTTTCCAGAACAGAGCAGCAGGCAGCCCCTGAGGGCAAGCCCTCTCTCCTTTAGCATCTGATGAACACTCTGGGCTTCCTCCCCGAGGCTACCAAGCTGCAGGCAGCCCCAGACACTCACGGATTCCACATCCCTTATTCTTTCCAGAATCTTCTGAATGGGGCAAGGATGAGACCGCACGGGGGGAGCTTGTGGAGGCAGAAACCTGTCTGGTCAGGGAGCCAATGTCAGGTTCCACTCTTCCCAGGCACTTGACACTTGGCTGGGAATTTTCACAACACTTCCCCCACCAGATTAGACCCAGGCTTGTTATGCCTTCGGGCTCCCTCCCTTCCAAGCTCTGAGCTCACAGGTGACATCTTTTGCTATGATTCTTTGAGTAGTTCTGTCCTGCAAAGCCACTTCAAACACGGAGTGCTCGTATTCAGTTCTGCTTTTAGGTTTCTCAGAGCCTCCGCTTGCCTTTCCATCAGTCAGTATGACCCCCTGTTTCATGTATGTTCCCGTTTCATGTATGTTTCATGTGTGTTTCTGTTTAAGGACACTCTTTACTATGTATAGTTGATTCTTGCACATTGAGCACATGGCCAGCATTTACATGGGAAGGAAGCTTATCTCAAACATGTATTTTCTCAGCAGGACACGTCACTGCCTTCTGGAAAGGCACAGAAGACAATTCAGCACTATGCTTGGGAATCTTTTAAACAGTAAGATTGGGACTTCCCTGATGGTCCAGTGGTTAAGACTCCTCTCTTCCAATGCAAGGGGTTCGAGTTCGATCCCTAGTCGGGTAACTAAGATCCCACATGCTTTGTGTCACAGCGAAAAAGTAAGTAAATAAAAAAAATAAATAGTGAAATCACCAACAAAAAGCATCAAAGTACCATATAACTCAGCAATTCTGCTCCTAGGTATATATCCAAAAGAACTGAAAGCAAAGACTTGAACATCATATCATTAGTTCAAGCACTCTTCACAAGAGCCAAGAGCTAGAAACAACCCAAGGGTCCATCAACAGATGAATGAAGAAACAAAATGCAGCATATGCATATATATAATGGACTATTATCCAGCCATAAGAAAGAATAAAATTCTGATACACACTACAGCACAGCAGAACCCTGAAGACAGTCTGCTTAGTGAAATGAGCCAGACACAGAAGGAAAAAATATTGTACCATTCCACTCAGAGGAGGTAACCGGAGCTTTCAAGTTCAGAGAGAGGCAAAGTAGTGCAAAGGTTACCAGTGGCTGGGGGAAATGGGGAGAGTTTGTGTTTAATGGGTCCAGAGTCTCCGTCACGATGATTTAGGTATAGAGAGTGGTGATGGTTGCACATCGTGAATGTTTTTACTGAATACTATACTTGTGCTGTGCTGTGCTAGGTCGCTCAGTCATGTCCAACTCCTTGCAACCCCATGGACTGCAGCCCACCAGGCTCCTCTGTCCAGGCGGATTCTCCAGGCAAGAATACTGGGGTGGGTTGCCATGTCCTCCTCCAGGGGATCTTCCCAACCCAGGGATCGAACCCAGGTCTCCCGAATTGCAGGCAGATTCTTCACCATCTGAGCCACCAGAAAAGCCCAATGGGGTGGGTAGCCTATCCCTCCTCCAGAGGATCTTCCTGACCCAGGAATCAAACTGGGGTTCCTGCATTGCAGGCGGATTCTTTACCAGCTGAGCTACCAGGGAAGCCCAAACTACATGCTTATGAATGGTTAAAACAATATTATAAAATCTACCAAGTTTTTTTAAGCACAAAAATATCCCCCAAATGCGACCCAAACAGACCTCAAAAAGGGCATTTGTTTATAGCACAACAGCTGAGACAAGAAGGCAGAGTGTCCCTGTGTACCTGGTCAGCTGCGAGCACATGAGTTTGGCTCCTTGAATTTTTCACAACTCTGCGCATGTCTTCAAATAACTAGAAACACGCTGGAGTCTTACTTCAGCTGTTGCAAAGCAATTTTACCCAGTAGGCAAATTGGCCAATAAAGAATCTGCAAATAGTGAGGATTGACTGTATTTCAAAAATGAAAAAAGAGGCAGAGAGCAATGTCTAGAGACCCAGAGAAGAGCCCCAGTGATGGAAAGACAGACCAGGAAGTTCTAGAAGGCAGAGATCAAAACTCCATCCCCCGTCTTCTCTCCATCTCCCCAGCCTTGTCTTCAAAGCCCAGATTGCTCTTTTAGTGTTGCCTTAGGTGGTGCTAGGGGTAAAGAACCTGCCTGCCAATGCAGGAGACATAAGAGACTTGGGTTCGATCCCTGGGTTGAGAAGATGCCCTGGAGGAGGGCATGGCAATCCACTTCAGTATTCTTGCCCAGAGAATCCCATGGACAGAGGAGCCTGGCGGGCTACAGTCCATAGGGTCACAAAGAGTTGGACACAACTGAAGTGACTTAGCATGCACTCATTTCAGAGACCCGGAGAGGTCTCTCGATGGGCATCTCTCGGGGAGGAGGCAGAGACAGAGCATCTATACAGCGAGGGCCAGAAGCAGGGCTTGCCCGGAAAGGGAGCTGCAGAAATCAAGTAATTTATATTGGGAGAGAGCCATCGTTTCTGTTCTGATTGAATCAAAAATGAAAGTAATAACTTTTCCCTCTTAACACCAATGTTTTCTGACTCCTTTTCCATCTCTGTCTCTTCTGCCCAAGGAGGAACCTTCAGGAACGCTTGCTTCCCCCAGCTGTCCCTGGATGGGCTCTGCCCTCTGGGCTTCCATCCAGCCCAGGGATAAATGAGGTCAGAGAAACAGAAGGCAAGGCGTCCACGTGGCCTGGGGCAGCACCCAGAGCCAGAAACTAGCCTTGTTTCCCTGCTTGCAAATTTTAAAAAAAAAGAAAGAAAAAAAAATTCTCCCCGGAGATAATCCCTTTTGATTAAAAAAAAAAAAAAAAGTATTATACTCATTCACTCCTATTCAGTTTCACCAATTCGATCTCCAAAATCTCCAAAAATCTTTTACCAACCTTCATTCCAGCAGCAATGAGAGAAGGCCACATTCCCCATCCTGTGTCCCACCCAACTTGATCAATCTAGTAGGCAGTAAAATTAACATTGCATTCATGACTGTATTTTTACTGATAGGTATTCACACAACATAAAATTTACCCATTTAAAGCATACAATTCAGGGTTTCTTAATTTATTCACAGAGTTTCCCATTCATCACCATAATCCATTTTAGAACTTTTTCACCACCCGAAATAGACCAGTTAGTCCCCATTTTCCCTTCTCCCAAGTTTCTGGAACGTGCTAATCCACCTTCTGTCCCTATGGCTTGTCTCTTCTGGACATTTCCTACAAATGGAACCACACAACATGTGACTTTTGTGTCAGCTTCTTTCTACGAGCCTAATGTTTTCAAAGTTCATCCATGCTGTAGTGTGATCAGTACCTTACTCCTTTTTGTGGTTAAAACAATATTTCATGGTATGAATAAATGACATTTTGTTTATAGATCCATCAATAGATGGACATTTTTGTTTCATTTCCACCTTTTGGTTTTTGTGAATAGTGCTTGCCATGAACATTTTCACATTTAGTGTATACATTTTCCTAAAATAGTATCAGTAAGTTAGGCCATCTAGTTATACTCTTATTGGCCAAATAAAGTGCCACACTAGAAAATCTTTGAGGGCAGGGAAATTGCTCTTCTCATCACTCCTGCTTTCCCACCACATTTGTTAGGCTTGATAAGGAAGAGTTGACAGATGATGGAACTTTTCTATATCTAACACTAAGTAACAGTTCAAAACAATGAACTTGACCTATAATAACGTTTCTGTTTAATTAATTAATTTATTTTTTTTTTGGCGCTACAGCTTGCAGGCTCTTAGTTCCCCAACCAGGGATCGAACTTTTGCCCCCACGCAGTGGAAGGGCAGAGTCTTCTCCCCTAGACTGCCAGGGAAGTCCTTGTTATATTTAATTTTGAATTTAATCTCCCATGTATTTCTAGCATCCTGGACTGTAAGTCTTATCAGTCATGCTCTCCCTTGACCCTTGACCCCTGAACTCATGAGGGTACCACCAAAAGAGGATAGAATCACCCACGCAGGTCTCTGGACAGAACAGATGTACCATCACTGTCCACCTGACGGTCTTTGGCTGAGTGTATTGGCAGTGATCACCGAGTCTGTCTCAGATACCAACCTACACTCCCAAAGCATGAGAAAGCCAGATTCTCCATCCCCTCAGCTACCAGTCCCCAGCACGGTGTCTCTTTTCAGTCACTGCTCATCTAAACGTCACGATGTTCCACTTATTACCTTGAAAAAGTAGAGAGAAGGTGGCCTCCAGTTACGTCGTATAGACCAAGGACATTACCAGGTTCACCCTTGTTGATGGCAGCACCATCGACTGTCTTGGTGACTAGTGTGTTCCCTGCTGCCCAAGAAGCAGAAAAGATGTCCAATTATGGCAGAAGGTTGGCAGAAAGGGAGCAGAGTAAATGTCCACTGATGGCAAAATGCCCCCATGAGCATCAAAGAGTGACATAAATCGAAAAACAAGATCTCTTTGCTTTGTTTCATGTCGTACTTGATCACTTATTTGTCATCTCCTGATGATGACAATAAAAGTCCCAGGGGGGCTGATTCATGTCAATGTATGACAGGAACCACTACAATATTGTAAAGTGGTTAGCCTCCAACTAATTAAAAAAAAAAAAAGTACCAGGGGATGAGCATCATGAGCTGTGTTCTCCCCTGCCTATGGTCCCCCGGAGATCCAGGCACAAGCCAGGAACTCAATACAATGCTTAGATCCAGGTCTACACAGCCTCAGTTCAGTTCAGTCTCTCAGTCATGTCCAACTCATTGCAACCTCATGGACTGCAGCATGCCAGGCCTCCCTGTCCATCACCAACTCCCAGAGTTTACTCAAACTCATGTCCATTGAGTTAGTGATGCCATCCAATCATGTCATCTTCTGTCACCCGGTTCTCCTCCTGCCCTCAGTCTCTCCCAGCATCAGGGTCTTTTCCGAAGAGTCAGCTCTTTGCATCAGGTGGCCAAAGTATTGGAGCTTCCACTTCAGCATCAGTCCTTCTAGTGAATAGTCAGGGTTGATTTCCTTTAGGGTTGACTGGTTTGATCTCCTTGCTGTCCTAGGGACTTTCAATAGTTTTTTATTATTGTGTCTTCTCAATAATCCTTTTATTACTGAGCAGCTGCAAGTGAGTCCTGTCTTGGGAGGCACCAGGAACCCTCTATATTAAGACAGCTTGGATCCTGCCCTTCGTGGATGAATGAACTGGGTCTGGTTTGCCTGTTGCATTCAGGAGCTTGGGTCCCAGGAGCCCGATTTCACACTTCTGTGGTGTTGGAGAAGACCACTGAGAGCCCCTTGGACTGCAAGGAGATCAAACCAGTCCATCCTAAAGGAAATCAGTCCTGAATATTCATTGGAAGGACTGGTACTGAAGCTGAAGCTCCAATACTTTGGCCACCTGATGCGAAGAGCTGACTCTGGAAAAGACCCTGATGTTGAGAGAGACTGAGGGCAGGAGGAGAACCAGGTGACAGAAGATGAGATGGTTGGATGGCATAGATTCAATGGACATGAGTTTGAGCAAACTCTGGAAATAGTGAAGGACAGGGAAGCCTGGCAAACTGCCGTCCATGGGATCTCAGAGTTGGACACATTGAGAGACTGAACACAACAACAAATAAAAGGATTAACCAATTATCGATCACTCTCTTGCCAGGCTGAGGGTGGGGCAAGAGAGGGTGGGTTTCAGGACTCTTAGGGTGTGCCTAAGGTGGGCACAGCATAAAACCGGGATGTCTGGCCCAGGCCTGTGAGCAGAGCCTCAAGCTCCCACAGCACAACAGCAGGAGGATGCAAGAACCCGAGTCCATCATGAGTGAGTCTGGCCCCCTGGGACTTGGTGGAGTTCGGAGGTGGAATCACATTCCTGGGGGAGAGGAGCAGAGAGCCTGACCCTCGGGGGTCCCCTGTCAGGGTGGCTCCCCCCTTGGATGGGAGATAGTGGGGGGTTGGGGCGGCCACCAAGGGTCACCAGGGAGCCTGTCCTGCCTGCCTCCCCAGGCCAGGGCCCTGGAATACTCCACGGGCTGAGGTCAAGCCCATTTCCAAGCTGTGCTCACTGCGGCCCAGAGAGGTGCAGGGGTTAGGGCTGGAGGGCGGACAGCCAGGGTCTGCGGAGCACCCTCACTCCGGATGCCCCCGGCTTCTCCTCCCGCCCTCGGGCCTGAGTCCCACCCGCTCACCTGGGGCTGGTCCAGGGAGGGGGAGGGTGCCAGGCGGGCTGGGGGCTGTTCCTGGGCTCATGGGACCCTGTTTGCCCCGAGCTCAGGCCCCACGGGGAGATCAGCGCCCCCAAAGAGAAAGCGGCGGGAGCGTACCGTGTACAGCAAAGAGCAGTCGGAGGCGCTCAAAGAAGCCTTCCTGAGGACCGAGTACCCGAGCTACCGGGACCGCCTGCGCCTGGCGGCCAGGCTGCACCTGGACGAACACAGAGTGCAGGTCCGAGCCCCCCGCCCTGGCCGCCTCTCCGCCCGCCCGCGGCCGCGGTGGGGACCGCGAGGCCAGAGGGGCCAGGACTGCCCGGGTCCCGCAGCAAGCAAGGGGTCTCCCCGCTGTGGACCCAGGGCTGGGCCCCGGTCCCCCTCAACCCTGGGCTGGATCACCCCGCCAACCGCATCCGGCCTGCCTGACGCCCCCATCGCCCCGGGGTGTCCCGGCGCCCAGCCCTCAGGGCCTCTGACCCCGCGGACCCTCTCGGGCAGACCCCTTCCTGCCCCGCGGGGGCCCCAGCCCTGCCCCCTGCCCTCCGCGCCCCTTCCCGCTGCCTCCTGAACCCCAGGAGCCTTTAATTGGGTCTGGGGGGCGAAGGGAGAGGGGAGGCGGATTCTCAGCAGGACAGCCTCACCCCCGCCCCCCCATCAGAGGCGATAGCGCGGGCCCCTGGCCTCTCACACCCCCTCCTCCCGGTCCCCTCTGCCCCCCCAGGTGTGGTTCAAGAACCGCCGGGCCCAGCGCTCCCGTTTGGAGAGAGGACAGGCCCAGGGCGGATACCGGAGGGCCGGCGATGCGTCCACGGACCCTGGAGCCCCCCGGACTCCCGCCCCCGCCCTGGAATCTGCTGCCACAGCTGCGAGCCCCAGTTGCCCAGGCGGCCCGGGATTCTACAGCCGCCCTCCTCCCCCCAGTCCCACTGAGGTGCTCCCAGCACCCGAGCCCGGCGTCTCCAGCTGCGGCCAGGCCACGTGGGTCCCAGCGCAGGGCGTCCACGTGTACGGCCCCGCTGCTCCAACCCCGGCCCCCTCCCCGGGCTGGCCTCAGGACCCCGACGCCCCGAACTACTGCCCAGATCCTCTTCCGGTTCTGCTTCCTGACAGTGCCCTGATGTTATCCCAGGATCTCTTTTCCAACTCCTCCTCTCCCTTGAATTCTGTGTCCCCTGTGGACGAGGACGATTTAGGCTCCCAGCGGTTCACGAATTTATAGGGTCGTGGTCATCTGCCCCCGCAAAGTCCTGCAGAAGCCGAGGGGCCGAGAGAACCAGGGCACTGTGAGTCTGCACATGGCGCCCATGCGGACCAGGAAGGTGTGATGGCTTGGTCTTCACAGCTGGTTACTCTGTGCACCTCCCTTGATCCAGCCTGGGGAGGGGGCATTTCTGTGTCACTGTGAGGCCACCGCAGGTCGCGAAGCCCTGAAGATCCCTGCCCAGTTATTTGGGGCGCAGGTGGGAACTGCTGTCAATGGAATTGCTACTGGCCGTTCGTGTGTGTTCCGGCCTCGTGGACGCTGCATGAGAACTTTCTGTGCAAGTGAGACCAGTATCATTTGCCCAGCCCCCTGAATGTTGAGGATTTGAGACATTTTCATATTTGCTGATCTGCCCTCTTTCGACTTTTGTAGTTTTAATACTGATGCCTCCAATGGTGCAGAAGTTAAGCTCTTCTCAGGTGTTAACTGGACATTAGAAATACTTGTAAATTGTCCTCTCCCCTCCCCCTCCATTTTTCTCAATTTGTTGGGATTTATATGTCCATCTCTTTTGGTGGTTAAAGTGTTGCAAACATTTTTCCCATGTGTGTTTTCTATAAGTAGAATTTTCTTGACTTTAATGTTGTATATTTCAGTGCCTATCCTTATCTTTTGTGATGAATTCGTGTTTTTCTTTTGTTTACATCAGTGGCATGCTGATATGCTGAAAAAAATAGAATAAAAAATTTTTAAATAAATTTAAAATGATTTTTTACAAGATAGGCGCCAATTTTCTTTTCTTTTTTTTTTTTAAATTAAATTTATTTATTTATTTTTTTACATGTATTCCCCATCCCGGTCCTCCCTCCCACCTCCCTCTCCACCCAATCCCTCTGGGTCTTCCCAGTGCACCAGGCCCGAGCACTTGTCTCATGCACCCAACCTGGGCTGGTGAACTGTTTCACCCTAGATAATATACGTGTTTCGATGCTGTTCTCTTGAAACATCCCACCCTCGCCTTCTCCCAGAGTCCACAAGTCTGTTCTATACATAGGAGTCTCTTTTTCTGTTTTGCACATAGGGTTATCGTTACCATCTTTCTAAATTCCACATATATGTGTTAGTATACTGTAATGTTCTTTCAAGTTGACATAAAAATTTATAAAAGCTGACTGTTTGGCGTTTCCCTGGTGGTCCAGTGGTTAAGAATCCTCCTTGCAATGCCAGGGATACCAGTTCAATACCTAGTCCAGGAAGATCCCACACGCCACAGCTACTAAGACCTGCACATCCTAGAGTCTCTGTAACAGAAGAAGTCACCTCAATAAACTAGAGAAAGCTTATGCAGCAATGAAGACCCAGCACAGCCAAAAGTAATTTTTTTTAAAAACTTGACATTCAAGGTCTACTTGCTTTGTCACAAACTAAAAACTGTTTACAGATAACGTTAGTCTGAGATTCCCAGTCTGCTGTTTCCAGTATAGCTCAGGGGTTTCAAATGGCGACCCACTCCAGTATTCTTGCCTTGGAGAATCCCATGGACAGGGGAGTCTGGCAGGCTACAGTCCGTGGGGTTGCAAAGAGTGGGACAGGACTGGGCGACTAACACGGGGGTTTCTGGGGCGGGAGTGTGGAGGGAGGAGTTGCTCTTTTCTCCTCTAGCATTACTGCTTTTTAAAAACTATTCATTTGGCTGCATCTGGTCTTAGTTGGGGCATGTGGGATCGTCGCTGTTTCCTTGCAGCCATTGTAGCATGCGGGCTCAGTATTTGTGGCATGCAGACTTCATTGCTTTGCAACACGTCGAATCTTAGTTCCCCAACCAGGAATGGAACCCAAGTCCCCTGCATTTCAAGGAGGATTCTTAACCACTGGACCACCAGGGAAGTCCCTACTGCTTTTCTCTTTCCTCTTGTTTAAGATCTCTTTCATTATCACATAAAGATAATGTCTTCTTCCCTAAAATCGTAACAGTTTTAACTCCCACATTTAGGTCTTAAAACAACTGGAACTGACTGTGGATGTGTGGTGTGAGGTAGGGATTTCTTTTTGTTTTTTTTTCCTCATGGATTTCCATCCCAGGGGGCTCAGTGGTAAAGAACCTGTCTGCCAATGCAGGAGATGCAGGTTCGATCCCTGGGTCAGAAAGATCCCCAGGAGAAGGAAATGGCAAGCCACTCCAGTATTCTTGCCTGGGAAATCCCATGGACAGAGGAGCCTGGCGGGCTACCATCCGTGGAGTCGCAAAGAGCTGGACACGACTGAGCAACTGAGCATGCACATGGATTTCCAGTGGTCAGTTTGTGGACAGGTTGGTTAATTTGTCATCAATCAAGGGTCCAATCACAGATGGATCTATGTCCACAAAGTCTTCACTTGGGGTCCTCGATCTTTATAACTTTTCACCAATTACCTGTTCCTTCTGCCTCGTTTCTCTGCTGCTCATCCTGACCCCTAGGTCTCCCCACAGCCAATTTTCTGGCCCCATCCTGGTCCCCTTTAGCAAATGCTCCAATCCTCTTAGGCCAGGCCAGCCTCAGCAAAATAGAGTGAGAATTAGCAGGGATTTAAACCACAGACTGTGGTTTGGGGCGGGGGGTGGAGAGACAGTTGTGAGGATAGAATGAGACCGTGCTTATCAGAGAGGCCCTGGTAGGAATGGAGCCAAAAAAAAAACCCCACACAGACCCCACAAGGAGACTGAGGGGCAGAGAAGGAGAGCGACTGAAGGCAGAGGAGACATACAGAGAAGGGGAGTTAGGGGGTGGGCCAGAAAGGAAAGGGAACTGAGGCGCCCCAGCCCTGCTCCCTAAACGAAAACAGACAAGGTCCCTCCCGCATGTGTCACTTTCCATGTGACAGCTGCTGTCCTCCATCCTCTAATATCCTTACAAAAGGTCGTTTAAGGCCAGCAACCTAAGCCCTTACCTACAGGAGTCACACCAAACATCAGAGCCTTTAGCTGCCTCTCTGAGAAGACGGTGGGCGTCTGAGCTGAGCATGAACCAGGCTGCCCAGCTGAACACCTCAGTCCTTAACCCCTCCGCTCTCTCGAGTTTTACCAAGTTTATCTGCTTCTTGGACCACTCAGAGAAAGCCATGTGGACCGCTGGACCTCTGTGAGACTTTGGGTAACAGTCATCACCTGGGGGTGGGTGTGAATTACACGGAGTGTGCAACTGACACGCTGGACACTGATTTACAGGAAGTGTTGAGTAAATGGTTGGTCTTATCCTGCCGGGCTTCTCAGGCGGTGCTAGAGGTAAAGAACCTGCCTGCCAATGCAGGAGACTTAAGAGATTTGGGTTCCATCCTTGGATCGGGGAAGATTCCTCTGGAGGAAGACACAGTAACCCACTCCAGTATTCTCGCCTGGAGAATCCCATGGACAGAGGAGCCTGGTGGGCTACAGTCTGTAGGGTCGAAAGGAGTCGGACACAACTGAAGCGAGTTACCACGCATGTGGGCACTATTCTACCACTGAGACAACCCCCGACCCCCATCCCCATCCTTTCCCTCCTCTGACTCACCCATCTCCCATCTGTCTGCCCTGTGGGCTTCCCTTCCTTCTCCCTCTCTCTGGCCTCTCTCTGGCCTCTCCAGGTCCCTGAACTTCTCCCCAGCAGGTTTCTTTGGCTTTGACCTAGTCTGACTCACCAAATGCCCCAACCTCTTAGGCCAGTCAGGCCAGCATCTGCAGAATATGAGCACAGGCACAGTCAGAGGTGGGCTGAAGGGGACATGGGACTCACTGGCAGATGAAGCTCAAAACTTTCTCAAACCCCCACTCACATCTTCCTGTGTTTCCTTGGTGACGAGGAGATTTCTGTTTCTGCAGTTGGTGCTGTTGGGGTCTCCGGGATCCCCTCCCCAACATAAGTCCCAGGGAGATCCTCTCAGGAAGGAAAGATGAAGCTGCCCAATCTCCTCTAGTCCTGACTGATCCACAGTCACTCGGGCAGTGGACGGAGCACGGTGTAGATCTTCACAGACATACTTGGTTGCATTTGCATTTGCATTTTTATTCAAAATTTCGGTACACTTATCTCCAAACTCATTCAGCTGGATACATTAAATATATACAGTTTTTGTAGGTCCATAAAAGAGGCTTATGAGGAGTTGATATAATTCTACTCCTTTGCACAGTGACTAGCACCATACTGCTTGAAACTCCAGACAATGTTTCTTTTCTCTCTCAGTTCCTCCATCCCCCTCTTGCTCACACCCTCTTCATTTATAGCTTATCTTATTTATTCTTTAAATATGCAGCCAGTGACCCTGCAAAGGGCTTCCCAGGTGGCGCAAGAGCTAAAGAACCTGCCTGCCAATGCAGAAGACTGGGGTTCAATCCCTGAGTCAGAAAGATCCCCTGGAGGAGGGTGTGCCAACCCATTCCAGTATTCTTGTCTGCAGAATCCCATGGACAGAGGAGCCTGGCAGGCTACTGTCCATGGGGTCACAAAGAGTCGGGCACAACTTTGCATGCATGCATGCATGACTTAGCATGCATGCACACACGACCATGCAAATACTGCTAACTGTCACAGCCAGGGAGCATGTCCTCTCTTAAAACCTTCCCTCTCCGTCTTTTTCATCCTGTCTCGGGTGGGAGCATCAGTCACCTCTCCTTCCAGCTCCCTCTTCCTCTACTGCCCCCTACTGCCCTCCTGCGGCCGTCCCGTCCCCTGAGTCTCCCCCACACCCCTGTTCTGGTCCCATTTAGCAAATGCTCCAATCCTCTTATGCCAGGCCGGCCTCAGGAGAGCAGAGAGAAAAATTAGATCAGATTGGAGAGAGAAGGAAGGGAGTCATGTGACCGGTGACGGAGGTTGGGGTGCGGGGTGGACAAACATAACAGGATGGACAGCTCTGGGGGCTGCCAAGATGTAACAGAGGCTCCTCCGGCTTATCCAACAGACCCTGTTAGGGATCGATGCAGAAGCACACTGAAGAAACAGGGGCAGAGGATGGAGACCCAGAGGCAGAGGCACTGTTGTTTGGAATGAGTTTCTCCC